TCGACACGCAAGTCAATAGAATCTCCCTGCTTCTCACGCTCAGCAGGCACTGCGGCGGCAACCAGCTTCAAACCAGCAAACTCCCTGAAACTCGCTCGCGGATCTTCGTCGTCTCCCTTCTCCAGCCTCCATCCAGATGACCACTCGCCAATCCAATCCTCCCATCTTGTATCAATCTTTTTGTTGATGTCTCTGAAAGGAATGGATACTTCCTGAAGATGCTCCAACGTGCCCATGTAAGGCCACCCTTTGGCATAGGATACTGCGTGAACCACACGGCAGCAAACATCAGTTCCTTCCCATCCGTTGGTCATAACAGCGATACCGCAATCTGCTTCCAAGTCTTTCTCGTCGACGTCTCCAGTTGTGTTGGCAAAGCCAACCACGTAGCATCTGAAGCAGGGCGAGTTGCCACCAAAGTGGCCAAAGACGTTGCTCTTGTTCCTCGACACGAACCATGAGATGGCAATGCCTTGTTGTACCTGGGTCAACATCTCCTTGGCAACAGCCTGTGGGAAAAATCTGTCCTTCTTGGGGATGTTTGCCCTCAAGGATTGCTGGATGCCTCTGATGAGCTTCAACAGGTCCGTTGGCGTCGTCCAGGCTCCACCTGATGCGAACTCGGGATGGTGATGCCATGGGGTATCATGCGGCTCGTTGCCAGTCCACCAAGAACGCGCATAGTTCCCCCTGTCGTCATGCTCAGGCATGTCATAGCTTGAGTGAGACATTCCGAGGGGCTCAAAGACGAGCTCTCTCACAAGGTCCTGGAAGGGCTTGTCAAACATCTTCTCCAGTATAAGCTGAAGCATGGCGAAGTTGCCCCCGCAGTATGCATGCTTCATCCCCGGAAGCAGGGTCAGCCCTTCGGCAATGTTATGTCCACCGTTCCTGTCGAGCAACGTGTCTAGGGCCGAAGGCATGTTTTTCGCATAACCCGTATAGGCCGAAGTTCGGAAGCCGGCCGTGTGGGTGAGAAGATGGCGGAGAGTTATTTGTTTGAGGATCTTGGGCGGCCCGAGGTTCTTAAAGAGCTCTTCCGGAAGGTGGTGTAGCAATTTGTCGTCCAGTGAAAGCTTCCCCTGACTGAGAAGCCTCATGACTGCAGTGGCAGCCGTGGGCTTCGAGATGCTCGCCGCCTGAAAACGAGTTTCCTCGTCATTACCAACAGTAGAAAAACATCTCACCTCGATGTTACCTTTGTCTAGGACGGCGATGGAGACAGAAGGAATGCCCAAAGATACCAAGAAATGCTCCGGGGCCGACGGCGGAGTTGTCTGGTTTGCAAACAGGTCTGCGATGGTGTCGAAGAAGGCCATCTTACTCGGGGATATCACAACGACAGTGAAGAGGACAGGTACGTTGATTAAGTCGATGGCAGGGATAGTGAAGAACTGAGTGCGGATTATTGACATGGAACTAAGCGATCCGGTCGACTAGCAAAGCTCTTAAGCAATCTGACTTTCGCCAGTATTACATGCCACACGCGCACCAGTCTTACGAACGGGATGACGCAAACATGGTCAGCAGTCAGCTTCGTCAAATCTCACCTACCCACGCCAAGTCTCTCGATACTTGAAGCCACATCGATCATTGTATTGTCTGAATGAAGAATGAATTCGAATTCCCGCCTCATTGACATCTGATTCCAACGCATGTACTTGGAAGATTGAAAGGCGAGCACATTCCTCATTAGGAGAAGATAACCCTCGAGGCTCAAGTACGCTTCCAATTTCCTAAATGATGTTGAAAAATCCTTTAGTCTTCGCCAATGAGTATCGCCTTACCCCGCATATGTTGACGTACTCTCCCACCAGTTCGTTAAATCGTTCAAGACCTTCCGTGACCCCGCCAGCCCCACCATGCCGCGGAAGGCTGGTGAAGTAGCGGAGGGCATTCTTCCACCAGTCGCCGGGTGAGGCAGATCTGAGCCAATCCCGCCTCCTTAGCCGCGCCGCACGTATGAGGCTACACTGCTGTCGTGATGCCGGAGAAGGTATGTTTACCCACGATGTATCGCCTCTAGATGCACCTCATGCTGTCGTCGGCTAACCTGATGTAGCGCCTACTTATCCGTGAAGAAAGTATAAATGTGACAATCCCACGCGCTTACCAGAGATAATCGAGGCACCGCATGGGACTTGGACTACTTATCAATTTTCTCCCAAGCATTCAGTCCAGATGCTATCCTTTAGTAGAAAGCTCATATCGGCAGCATATGTCGCTACTATTCTCCGCATAGCAGCAGCATGGAGCCCTCCACCCGAGTATGCCCTCTTCGCCTCCGAAAATGGCCACTACTTTCAGACCATAGACCACAAGCCCTTCTTCTGGCAGGCAGATACCGCATGGTTTCTTTTCAACCGTCTCACTTTTGAAGAAGCCGACACATACTTCAAAGACCGCCACAGCAAAGGCTTCAATGTCGTCCAGGCCGTCGGCGCGCACCCAGACAGCATCACTGAGCCGGACCGCCTCGGTAACCCGTCCTGGATCGACGGCGACGTCACACGGCCGAACTCAGACCACTGGGCGTTCGTCTACAAGGTGATGGAGCACGCGTGGGAGGAATACGGCATCCGCATCGCGCTACACCCCGCGTGGGGCAAGTACGTGCACAACGATGCCGGCGTTCCTGGGTTCTTTGACGCGGCCGCTGCGAGGCTGTTTGGAGAGTTTGTGGGGGAGCGGTACCCGTACGTCCCCAAGATCATCTTTGGAGATACGAATCCGTGGTGGAAGAACAAGACTGCAATGGCCAGGGATTACGCCTACGGTGGTGTTAGAGGGACGAAGCTGTCTGGTGAGTATGAGGTGATCGACTTCATGGATGTGTATGAGGCCTTTGCGGAGGGCATCGTGGACGGCGAGAAGGCTGCTCTGGGGGAAGAATGGGGTAAGCCTTTTGAAAACGGCCTTGTTTACCAGCCGATGGTATCGATGCACCCAACGAACCAGTGGTTCGCCGACGGTCCTCTGGCGCTATCAAGTTCCTTCTTCGGGAACAGCTCGTGGCTTGGTTTCGACACGTCTCAGTCTGGCCACTCGGACTATCCTCCCAACGCCCCGATTCCTTGGTGGTCTTGTCGCCGGGGATGGGAGCCAGCCGAGCTCATGTACGCCGTCGGTGAGACCACCTCTGGTAAGAAACGTCCCGCAATCGAGAACGAGCCGCATTATGAGGGCCGTTGGAACAATGCCAAGGCTCACCTCAGTGTCTGGAACGCCAGCGACGTCCGGATCGGAAATTGGCAGACTGTGAGTTGATCTCCAAAGAAGGCACGATGCGCAGTTTATGTGATGTGGACTGACCATGAGTGGCCGCAGGCTTTCACCGGCATGGCTGGTCTGACGTACGGATCGAACTCGGTCTGGCAGATGACGTCGGAACTCTACCCGAACGCCGGCGGAGGACCTCCGATCTACTGGACAGAAGGCATAGCGCAGCCTGGCTCAGCTGAGGTTCAGTGGGTGAAGAAGGCTATTCTTGACCGTGGCGAGGAGACATATTTTGACAGGATTCCAGCTCAGGATATCATCGTCGGCAACCCTGGTTCGTCTCCAAGTACCCTAACAGCACGAAAAAGTCTCGCGATAAGGTAGTCGGCATGGTTACTGAATGTTCTGCAGGGATATCTGACGCCCGGATCGCAGCCACCCGCGACAGCAAAGGATCGTGGCTGATGGTGTACTCTCAAAACTCTACCATCACCATCGACACCAGCAGTCTTACAGGGTGCAATGTGACTGCGAGCTGGTTCAGCCCCGTGTCTGGCGAGTATACGAAGTTTGACTACGAGCAGTGCACCGGAACGGGAGTTCGTCGCTTCGAATTGCCTGTTGAAGACGGCCATCAAGACTGGGCCCTGGTTTTCGACGCCCATGCATGAAGGTCGAAGTATGCGAGAGAAAAAAAACACCTTTGAAGTTGTATATGATGAAAAAGTTCTTTCAGAACGTTGGATAATTATACAAATTTAGTGGTAAAAAAGATGAATTTAGAAGTTGTCTCGATGTATTAGTAAAGCTGTGCGGTGTCTTGATCGCATTGAATCGTTCAAAATCCACGCAGCGCCAGTTGTCTGCTCTTCAACGGAGACACCCGGTATCTCGGTTCTGCAGCTCATGTCGCAATGTAGGAGGGGACGCCATATTCTTCCCTCTGGTTGGTGCTCAGACACGGTGTCCGTTCCTATCTTGGGGCATCAGATGTTCACCGAGCTGACTCGTACCCCATGTCGTGCTGCACCCTTGGAGACAGGCCAGGGACGGCCCGGGGACAGGAAGCGGGTAGAGGTCATTGGTCTCATAAAGGCAGCAAAGCAGGGTCTCGAATTGGAGAAACTGCAATTGGAGCCAGGCGGGATTGTTCATTGGCTACATCGGGTTGAAGTCTGCACGTCGGGGGATGAGCGAAACTCAATGTAACGAGACGTGGACTGTCTTCAGTATCCCCTGTCCATCCATACCAACAAAGCTGCATATGAAAAAGCAGCGGGCGAGAATGTCAGACTCCCGGGCCGCTTACTGAGGTACAAGTTGGCTCCTGCCCCTCGTTCTGACCGCTTGGCAACTTCGAGGCCATTTCGCTGCCACGTCTTCCCAAGCCCATCACCACCTTCATTGACCAGATGGCGGACGCAACAAGCAGTCCCAAGGCGACGTCCACAGGAGACAAATCAAAGAGCGCCTCCCCGAGTCGGTCTAAGACTGCATCACCAGCGGGTGGACTTTCCCCAGGTTCTACTCGTGCAGAGGTCCTCGCAGCTGCCATTGAAGTCGACGATGCGGTAATTATTTATCAACATCAATTTCATCGCACCCCATTGACTTGATGATTATTCAGATCCCAGGCAACGACTCCACCATTGAAGATAGAATGTTAGAACATGCAAGTGTCTTTTCTGAGGAGTTTAATTGATTTTACGATAGTTCTTCATACACCGCCTCTCTGACTTCCAGCGTGGTCGACTATCCTACGGAGAACGGTAGACGTTACCATGCTTTTCGAGCTGGAGGTATGTTCTTGGACAAGCTTTTTCAACCATCGGAAGCACCTTGCTGTACGAATACTTGGCTGACTTCAGAAGCTTATTATGGCCCCAATGATGAGGTACTTGCTCAAGAATCCGGTGGTGAATTTCGCTGATGGCGGCCTCTCTTAGCAAGAAATGGATCGGCTTGACTTCAATCATATGCTCATGACAAAAGCGATTGGAAATAAGCTCTTTCTGACCCCGATCGATGCTGGGAAAGTTCACAATGTCCTCGACATTGGGACAGGCACCGGTATCTGTAAGTTTATCACGCGTTGAAATTGCTTTTACTCGCAATGAATGCCTTACGTCTTCCTAGGGGCTATTGAAGCAGCAGAAATATTCCCCAATGCCAAGGTGAGCATTGCATACTCCTCAGTCGCGATCTATGTCCCAAAATCTTCTTTCCAACATGAACTGATTGCCCCGTCTGGTAGATCACCGGGAACGATCTGAGTGCTATTCAACCCACTTGGTAGGTTTTTTCCTATACCTTGCCAAACGAAATCATTGGTTTATCATAGATACAGGGTTCCGCCTAATGTCCATTTTGAGGTCGATGACGTTGAAAGTCCTTGGCTCGGCTTGAACGGATTTGACTTCATCTTCTGCAGGTACATGCTTGGTGCCATCGCAGACTGGCCGAAGCTGATGGAACGGGTCTACGAGTAAGTATGAGCGGTTGATATAGTGGATGCTTGTTTCTCATCATGCCTAGGAACACAAAGGAGGGTGGATGGGTCGAGTTCCAGGATTAACGTCCCACACCCACTTCTGGGCACCCCCCACATTTGGGCACCCCAAAAATGTCTCACCGCCATGAATACCCGCCACCTTCAAACCTACACAACTTTATCAATCTTTACCCAATTGACTTCATTTTTGGTATATAGCTTTATAAGCATCAGATGCCCTCATATTCCGAAGATGACGTCCTACGGGCGCTTGCTGCTATCGCAAACGGTACATCTGTCAAAAAAGCTGCATTTGAGCATGGTGTGCCGCGTTCAACTCTACAGAATCGGATCAGAGGTGTGCAGACGCGGGATATAGCGTTTTCTGATCTGCAAAGGCTTTCTCCAACCCAGGAAAGTCATCTGGCTGAATGGGTTCGAATCCAGGCTGCCCTAGGCCTTCCTCCAACCCATCAGCAACTCAAGGATTTTGCTGAACGCATCCTACAGATCCATGGAGACTCCCAGCCTCTTGGAAAAAACTGGGTGCAGTCTTTTATTAAGAGAAACCCATCTGTAAGGGTCCAAAGAAGCAGAGCAATCGATTCCCAGCGTATCAATAGAGCTTCAACTAATGTAATCAGGCAATGGTTCAAGCACCTCGCCATACCTGAGATCATGGCCATCAAGGCCTCCAATCGATACAATATGGATGAGACTGGTATTCTAGAAGGCAGAGGATCAAATGGGCTTGTCCTTGGATCATCAGAAACTCGTTCTATCCGCAAGAAACAGCCTGGATCGCGTGCTTGGACATCTCTGATCGAGTGTATCTCTGCAACTGGCAAGGCACTGCCTCCACTTGTTATATACAAGGGCAAGAGTGTCCAGCAGCAGTGGTTCCCTCTAGATCTGACGCCATATGAATCCTGGAAGTTCACAGCTACAGAAAATGGGTGGACTTCAGACTCTACAGCTGTCAAGTGGTTAACAGAGGTCTTTATTCCTTCAACCCAGCCAGGGGACCCCTCAGAGGTCAGATTATTGATTTTGGATGGTCATGGAAGCCATGAGACTACTGCTTTTATGTATACATGCTTCAGGAACAAGATACACTTGCTGTTCTTGCCAGCACACACGTCACACGTCCTTCAGCCACTTGATCAGTCGGTTTTTGGGCCCCTCAAGGCAGCATACAAGAAGGAGCTTGGATTACTGGCTGAATGGGATGCTGGTACAGTTGTGGGCAAGAGAAACTTCGTTATATGCTATGGCAAGGCGCGTAAGGCAGCCCTGACAAGCAAGAACATCATCAGTGGCTGGAAATGGACTGGTTTGTGGCCTGTCAGTATGGCTAGACCCCTCATGAGCCCTCTGCTGCTTGAGAACACATCAACCCCTGCCAAACCAGCTGGTCAGGTCTGCAAAGGGCTCTCTGATGGCAAAGCAAGCGAAAAATGGGCGGCAGATACATCAGCAGTCCTTTGGTCAACCCCCAAGAAGAGGGATGAGCTTCAGGATCAGTTCAGCCTGTTCAGCAAGCTAGATAACGATGAGCATACGCAGCGCCTGCTTTTCCGGAAGGTTCAGAAGGGCTTTGATGAGAAGGCATACCAATTAGCAGTAGCCCAGCGAAAGATTGAGGCACTGCAGGCAGAGGTTGATGCCAGTAGGGCCAGGAAACGGAAGAAGGTCAAAATGAGCCCAAATTCGAAGTTTGCCGATATTGAGGCTATTCGGAGGGCTCAAATCGAGGCGGGCGAACTTGAAAGTAGCACAGATGAATCCAGCGAGTCAGAAAACCCTAGTGATAGCGAAAGTTGCATCGTCGTCGCATCATAATACATATAAATATTGGTTGAAGTTGATGTGTATAAAGGTGAGGGCATCAAAAATGGGGTGCCCAAATGTGGGGGGTGCCCAGAAGTGGGTGTGGGACGTTACGACCTGAGCTTCGTGTCCGACGACGGCAGCCTTACAGAGGAGCATGAGACCATGAAATGGGTACAGGGGTTCATCAAAGCTTGCGAAACGATAGGCCGCAACGCATGCCCCGGGCCTCATCTGGAAGGATGGGTCCAGGACGCTGGCTTCACCGACGTCGTGTATCAGCGGTTCAAACTGCCCATTGGACCATGGCCCAAGGACCCTCATTACAAGGAACTCGGAATTATCAATCTTATTCAATTGATGGACGGCGCAGAAGCATTTACTTTCAGGATCTTCTGTGACGTCCTGGGATGGACTCGCGATGAGTGCATCGTCATGCTTGCCAAGGTCCGCAATGAGTTGAAGTCTAACACCTTCCACGCTCGCATGGAGTTGTGAGTATAACGTCTTGCCTGACATCAATCTCGTATCATGGGCTAACGTGATGTATCGTCAGTCATGTGGTATATGGCAGAAAGCCTTCAGACTAGAAACTATCATCTCGTTCCGGAGGGCTTGATACGCTGGTTGTGTTTACCTTGATCATTGCATCACTCAGTTACTTTTGCGATTGTCTTCGCTCATCAAGAAATGAACCCTAGTGATCTAGGCTCAATTACTTATGCCATGCCGGCGGAGTTTCTCTGAGCTGTGCTTGAATTGAAACCTACGCGAATACGCCGTCGCAAATGGGGTGTACCATGTAAGCTGTGTGGAAAGGGGAGCAAAATAGTGATTTCCAGAACTGGTTTTCCGGAATAGCCAAAAGATTCACACTGAGCGGAGGTAATGGGTTTGTTCCCTATCTCTACTTAGATAAAGGTGATAACACGATATCATGGTCCAAAAAGATGCTCGTTGATGCTCGCGCCGTTGTTGGCACACTATTTCCCGCTGTAGTGTGATGTTGCATCTCCGCACGAACTTTGCCGCGGGCCCTTTTGGTCCGTTTGTTCCTCGGATGTGTCTCCTTTGGTTCTTCTGTACGGTCGATAACTTTTCATGGGATAGGCAAGCCAGCCCATGTGGCTGTCCACGAACTTTGCATTCTCTTCGTTTTCTGTCAGACTTGACTCTACAAGCCTCTTCAAATCGCCTCCTCTGTGTTAGTAACATCGGACACAGGAACGTATAGATGGTTCTGTACTCACTCAGAATACTCCGCACTGCATCAAAAGTATTGATCAACACCAATTGAAAGAAGAAAGAGATCAGGAAGATTGGCAGAAGAAGTGTACCCATGACCAAACGGAAGTACATGCTCCAATAGGTGAACTTTGGATGCTTCAGGTCGTAGTATGCCATCAAGACTCTCCTCGCTGGCAGTTCAACAAAAAGGTATCCTACCCAGAACCAAAAATGCCAAGATTGTTCGTCCTCGTGAGCCCGTATCCCACGACTTGCGTGTATATTAGTGCCCTTGGAGTGGCCCTCAGAGGTCTCAGAACCGGCCTCCTCGGCTTGCCTTGTGAGGTTCTGCGTCTTTACCAACTTACGTCGATGACGATTGAGGAGAGGGCTTCCTTCCATCTTCGACAAAGAGTACCGGTTTATATTCTCTGATATAACTTCGACAACTCCATTTAGCCGCTTAGCGTTGGCCAACGCGACAACAGTGACAAGCAGCGCAACAACAGAACAGATAATCATTGGAGGTATGACACTGCTAGGTGGCTCTTCGCTCATTCCGAAAATGCTGGATGCAAAGCCCAGGGGCAGAAATACGACTGTGACGTAGGTAAAGAAGCGGATGTTCTCTGACCCACGAAGGTTGAGATCGTCGCGGATCTGTTGCTGGCCTCGTCTCAGTGTCTCTTTGAGTGACTGAATCTGCACATGCAAGCGATGCAGGTCCCGAATACGACGACGTGTAGTTCCTTCAAGCTTCCCAATATATCGGCGATATTTTCTCTCATCTGTGCGTGTCCAGCGTGGTCGCTCCTGACCTCGGTCTTTTTCTCGTGTCTCCCATTTTGATATGATGACCCGCATGTCTGACAAATCCTCTTCCAACACCTGAAGTATTTGCTGATATCTTTGCCATTGCTCACTGGATGAGAAATAATCCTCGCTGTTGAGAACGGAAAATGGGATGGCAACATGTTTCACACCAAGTTCTTCTTTGACAGTGTTGTAGATCGTCTTGGTGCTGTCAACGAGTTCTTCCAAAATTCTGTCAAAAAGATGCAACTCTAGCACCTTTCTCTGTCTCCAACAATTGTTATCTTGGACAAGATGGCCCTTGTCACCCCAAGGAAAATCTCTCTCGTGCATTTCCCTATCCCACCAAGTCGGAACCCGCTTGCCACCGGGGATGTGTTCGATAAGATGGCAAGTCCAGTGCCTGTCAAAGAAGTCTCCAATGAACCGAAACCCGACGGCAGCTTTCACAAGTAACTTTGGCTCTCTCCCTGGAAACTCGTCCACACCTCCCCTTGGAATTCCAACAGTGGGCGTGTAGTCCTCGTCCACCAGTTTGTAAAAGCTTAGATGAAGTTCGCTCTCCCAGGTGTTGAGAACCATGGAAGTTTCGTCCAGAAAATGCTTTTCATATTGATGGTGCCGCTCGAAGAAAAGAGAGATAGCTTGCCTTTCTTCTTGCGGGCTCGTCAGGTAGCAAACGAGAGCCCTCTCATCATCGGCTGATGGAAGCCAGATGAATCTTTTCTTTGCCTTGGAAGCCGTCCTAGGCAGAGATAATAGGTACCAGAGCTTGAAGTTGCTATTGACTCCGCGGAATGTAACGTTATTTTCTCTCTCGTGCTTCTGGAGATTTCGTTGCCTCAGAACGTCCGCAATAAACGTCATGTTGTCTGATTCATCCTCGAGGGCGTTGTGCCCATCTGGAGAAGGTATGTCTGTCCAAGTCTTACTCAGAAGCTGCAAAGGGTCTCCTGGATCTCTCGCTTCAGCGGCAGGACGATTCCGCCGTTCTCCATTCCTTAGATACCTTGTGTATCCCTCAGCTGCTCTGGATATGAGAGCTCCGGATGTATCCCTCTCAGTACGGTCAAGGAGACTCTCTGCCTCTTCGTTGAACTTGGCGGAAGTCTGCTTCTCCATGCTGAAGAAAGTGGGGTAATTGTAAAGCCATTCTTCATCCAGATCAACGATACTGCTTTGGTCGATCAGACTGTTGAATGGAATGCTCTTCTTCATAGATACTACCTTGGTTGCTTTGAGCTTGACCCCTGGCTGGGGCAATGTGGAGCCGAGCTGGGTCTCTGTCATTTCAGGACTAGGAGCCGATCCAACGGGTAATCTGGGGATGCGGTCTGTCTGCGCGGGCTGTCTCTTCGGTTGCATCAAGTTCAAGTCTGCAACCTCTTCCAATAGGTCATGCGTTGTGAACACCTTTGTTTGCGGCGTGGAAGAAGGTTCAGGCTGGGTGCCAGACGTGTTGAGTTTCGAGTGAATTCTCCAGCAATGAGTGAGAAGAATATATGGGATCTCGAAACTAGCGTGGAAGTAGAAGTCTCGATCATTTTCTCGGCCAAATAAAGCAGATTCCTTCGTGTTGCTATCCAAAAGCCCGAATAATAGCCCATTCGGACTCGTGGAACCAAAGAGAACTTCCAACGATGACTTGATCAGCTCCTGTGGAGGCCGCTTGTTTATACTGATGTCCCTGGTTCCGAGCATAATCGCCAGGGCATAGCGAATTGAGTTGTCCCATCCAGTTTCGGAGTTCTCATTGTGATGAACTTGTGCCTCAATTGTGTTTTGCCATACTTCGTTGAGTGAGGTTTTCTCTGAGAAGAAATCTCTGTTGATACCATAGAAAAGTGTCGTATCACTGGCATGAAATAGAAATCGCGTCTCCCTGGGAGACCGAGTCATTGCCAGCATTCTTTTCTTGGAGATTTCGTTCTCGGCCGTGAAACGTCTAAGAATATCTCGTTGAACATCACGAGAGTCGAACCTTCTGAGCAGGCTGTCATCTGTTAAGACCTGATCATGTTGAGCCACGGTGACATCTCGAATCTCCTTGCTTTGTTGTCCACGGCTGGGTTCTCCACTAAATTTCTCATCTTCAGCATCTGAAACTTTGTCTTCCGGAAAGTCTCGGAAGTGACCCTCGACCAGCTTCAGTGCTCTCCAGATCCATACATGCTCGCTAAGCCTGTACTTATTGCACCCTTCATCTTGCGAGTGGGGCCAAGCACGGGAAATGCGGACGTCGGACTTATTGAGGGCTGTGATCCAGGGAATAGCAACTTGTTTGATGATTCCCCGCGCGAGGTCCAACTCATCTTCGCCGTGGTATTGACTCGCAAATTCAAACACCTTGATTATCTGAAATGGGGTGTCTGTCAAGGAATCGATTGGCATAAAGGACTCGCTTTCCTCATTGCGAGACATCTTATTCCCCTTGACCCAATAGTTTGCTGAGAAGCAGTTCGAATCCGTTTTCTCAACTGAGTTGAGCCATTTTAAGTGGCCGCGACAGACTGAGTAGATTCGCTTTCGCAACTCCCCATAGGTATCATATTGGTCTTTGCTCCTCGCGGCGGTCAACCGCTTTGAAATTTCAAGCAGAAAACTGAACGCAAAACTGCAACGGGTCAGCAAAAGTGTCTCGACAGAAGAAATATCATTTGATGAGCGAAAGTGTCTTACAAACTTGCCGGGGAAGACACACGGTGGCCCGATGTATCCCCACATGTCAACGCGACAGGCACAATATCTCCTTCCTCCTCGGGGTCACGCAGAGGAATCGCGCAAACGGACAAGATATGCTCAAGCTTTCTTCGAGCCACAAAGTCGATGTGGTTGAATGATTGGTTGACAGACTGGTCCTCAATCTCCAGCAAGCCTTTCGGTGGACCCGTAGGCAGCGGCGAAATCCAATTCCTTCTTCTATCTCTACCTGTTTCGCCGTCTCTCTGTCCATGATCGACATGGCTAGGTTCGTGGGCACAGGGAGAGAATGTCGTGAAGAACTTCGATGCAAAGGTCAAGTGGTTGCTGACGTCTGCTACATTTGCCGAGATCACGAAATCTTCCCAAGAAGCCCTAGAGTCAGTGAAACGCACCATCTTGTAGCCACTGACAACTTCAATTGCGGCCCCACCCCTGATCCTTCTAACCATCTTCTCGTGGGACTTTTGGTTAGCGGTTCCAAAACGAATGGCTCTACCATCCACGAATACCGATATAACCACCGCAATAGTGTCCTGGTTGTCATCATTTTCGGCATGTGGTAGTTTTACATTCCCCGAATATCCCCACATGTCTCCCTTGTGGCTGTCAACAGTAGCGTTTGTGGGCTTTCGAGAGCCAAGACGCATGAGCTGCATTGGTGTATCTTTGGTCGGCCGCTTTTCTTCCGTTGCTCCCTTTCGCTTTAGCGGATGAGCTAAAACCCATCCGTAGTTGTTCGGGCCTTGGACTGGAACATGTCCATCCCAATCGTCATTGAATTTATCCATGGGATCCAGGTAGTCCATGTCCCGAATGTGCAATCCTTTGCAAAATTCCATTGGGATGTCGACGTCAGTTTCCCCGGTATTGGTGATTATACATTGCTGAAGAACGGTCTTCTCGCGTACCATCCATTGGATCGTAAGCTTGAGGCTTTTATCTTCGACTTCGTACCGGGGCCACCTATCGTGAACGTAGCCCAGATGATGACAATTCTTCATGCTGATGCCTAGAACCCGCAATCCGTAGGTGAATCTTTGTCGAGACTTGTCACGGGATAAGAACAAGAGATCCTCGGCCCTCTCTTGAACAGAGTAGGGCTCATTTGTGGTCGTGTGGTCTGCACAAAAGATTCCTGAACTACCAGCGTCTAGGTAGCGGCTGAATTGCATGAGATCTCCGCATGCATTAACTGTAGCTGTCACCCCATGATCCCCGAAGGAAGCATGAGTGTCCTGGTTTGGTGCGTCTATCCAGGTGCTGATCTGGCTTTCGTTTGGACTGAAAATATCGCTAATCTTGCCTGTCGTCAATTAGTGGAACGTTGCATGTCATATTGCAAGGTGTCGACTTGCGATAGGTGAACTCTCGGAAATCATCGTCAGTTTCCGCCGGTACTTCATCAGAGTCCCAATATGGCAGCCTGTTTGCCTCCAGCGATGTCACGTCATGTTCGGTTGTCGAGGACTGTTCCCCCCCGTGCGTTGCCATGACTCCGGAAATGCGGCAAATGCGTACAGCAACCAGACGAACCGCGCGGTGCTGAATTTCTTACCAAAAGCTCGGCGGGTCCCAGACGCATTAAATGCTCGGCACTGACTCTGAGCTGTCATTTAAATGTGCGGCGGAAACGGGGCAAGGTGAATTGACGGTGGTCGGTTGGATCAAAACCAACTTGGCGGGCTTCTGTTTGGCTCGCTTTGCGCGCAATATGTAAGAGCATTTCCTAAGTCGGCGTCTTACTGCATGATATCCCTGTCACTTTCAAGGGGCACTTGCAGCTTTCGGCAAGGCTGGGCGAGATTGATAGAACTTTGAGTTGATTGAAGGCAGGACTCTCAGCAGGCCGGTAAACAAGTAAGAGGAATAAGAATGCAAAAGGGGTACTGTATCCGTGATTTTGATTTCATGAAGCATACTCTGCATGACCGCCAGAGGAGGCCATTTGCTAGTGAGTGTTCATCCCACAGCTGAGGGGTTCCCTAAATAGATCTTGGCGCTTGGCAGAGATACACCGCAATTTGAGTTGTCTGGACTCAGCGACCGTTTCTGCAGCCGTCTGCAAAAGATCTAGATTGCAAGTGGGAAAGCGAGCCAACAAGGGATTGCATCGGTCGAAAAGGCCATACCTGGACCTAGAAAATGCGCGTTGTTCAATCCACCACCTTTTGAAAGTGGAGTTGCACCCTTGTCGTCCCTAGCGGCTGGTATGGTCTCCTTTAAGTTGATCACAGCCTGCCTCAGTAGTGCCGACCACGCTGGCAGCAGCTCTGAACAGAGCTACTCTCATGTTTACAAGACGAGATCGAAGATGAGAAGTCTAGTATTGAATCATCATATGGACATTCTTGTTGCTCATCAACCATAGTCTATGAAGTGCCATCCTGAGAAGAACGACTCCGGAGTGGTTTGAAGAGAGGCTTCGCTCGCACTATCAAAGGCTTTAATACAGGCAAACAAGCGCAGAGAATAGCACACGTGATTTCAGCAAGTGACCACATTGCCGGTTTTACATTCCACCACGTTCGATCGGGCATTGGATTGAGCCACTGCATTCTCAGAATAGAAATTGCGATTGTACTGTTGAGTGTCAGCGAATGCCTCGCCATGGAGATGAATCACCTACAAAAACCCCAACATGAATACGCCAACAAGAACCACCTTTTGTGTACGCGGCATTTGGAGCTGCCATATCTTGGGGATCGGCAGCGTTATAATGATGAAGTCCGTGACGATGTTGAAGGTACCGTTGAAGTACCAAATAATCGCGATGTTCTTGATGCATTTGCTTTCGATCGTGTGATCCCACACTGCCTCAAGGGGTATGCACTGCAAAAAGGCCACAAAGGTTTGAGAGAGACCCCACAAGAAAATCACGACCATGCAGCCTATTAGAACGTACCGCAGGCGTGATACCTCCAAGAGACGGTAGTATTCCAGTAGAAAAGTCATCTTGATGAAAATGATGGCGGCAAAATACAGTGACAAGGATACGAAAAAAGCTTTTGCCCAGCATCAGTCATTGATCCAATTTGAGGTGGGGCATTCGAGTAAACCTTGTCGTAGAGTACGAGTTGCTCAGTTGATAGCGTCCACTCATGCCTCCCAAAACCGTATGTAGTCACTGTTTCCGATGAGCATAAATTGCAAAAACACGCTTATCACTTCCGACTTAGTCAAAATCATTGTTATCGCACATCCGATGATGCAGCACTGGGTAATAGTAAGATTCAAGTTCAGGAAATTCAAGTTGGCGGACATGCTCACTAAAGACGCGACCGCCGCGCAATCGTCCCAGCCGCGTTGCTTGATCAAGCTTCTTGACAAGATTCTCATCCCTACCACAACAGTCGAAATAGTCATGACTGATGCAGCTACCCCAATGATGACGCCAGACTTATCACCACTCTCCTGGCCATTAATCGTGGGCCTTGTTGCATTCATGGCGACTGGACATTAGCTGCGAGATGAAGTCGCAGCAGAGCAGGCGGTCACGCAGGCCGAGGAGGACATGGAACTGACCAAGGAGTGGCGATTGAGTTCAATATGGTTCCTCTTGCATGCAAAGTCGAAATGTCAGTTGTTGGGAGCGACCCAAAAGGAGAGTATTCGGACGGAATGGAACAGACTGGACGTGCGTGTGGCAACGGATGAACGAGGAAGTCGCGATTTCGGGTCGAAGGCCCGAATAAAGAAACGCAATTGACAGCGGCCAACATATGTTACCATAGACAAGCTTGACTGTTCGTCATGGATCAAAGAAATTCGATGTCGTTAGCGGCACTTGTTAACCGGTGCGACGCCATCGGGCTGATCTAGATTTAGTCTCACATCCAGGCCTACCATCTTAGGTTCGCATCTATTCCGGAAGCAGCGTGATTTGCCTGACCGCTTCCGGCTGGGGGGAATCGAGTGGTTTTCGTGTCTAATTTCCCTGTCACCAATGCAATGAGTTCTTCCAGTAGTAGTCTTGCACTGCATTTCATCCTTCTCAATCAAACGTAGCAAGTCTCAGTCATTCCTATGGTGTCGTTCCCAGGTCTATTTTCAGCATCTACTGAGGTATTCGTTGCTCTATTTTGTAGAGGGACCCAGCCACAGCGGCTCAATCCTCCGCTATCGTCAGACTTCGCTGCTTATTCTGAGAGCCTCAACTCGAGAGATTGTCCCAGAATGAGATATCTGTACCTTCTGATGACAACAGCTCAAATCAGGGAGCGCTGATGCATGTAACATTCATCATTAAGGTCATTGGTGCCCGCCTCGAAGTTAGGCAACCAGCGACAGGGGGCCAGCAAGAACAGCGAGGCAACCAGTGTACAACGAAAAAGAAGCATGTCAGCGCACAGGATAAGACGCCCTATGGGCTTCCGCCGTTATGGGTGGGTCTAGTGTCTGAACCAATCAATCACAGGGTGTTGAAGGTATTCGGGCGGCTGTTCTGATGGGTCGCAAAGAGGCAAACTACTTTTCCAGTAATACAAATGTCGGGCCAGATCCCAGGAAGTCTCATAACGCAGCTTTGAACTGGTAACACTTATTCGGAGCTTGTGCTAGTCTCGTGCAGGCGCAGCTATGTCAACCCAAAAACAACCGAGGCGGTTTGCACTGCTTGTTGGGATCGACTGCTACCTTGCGGGAGACGCAAGAAGATTCAGCAGTGGCCGCTGCGTCTCGATCAACAACCTCGAAGGATGCGTAAACGATGTCAATATCATGAAAGAAGTTCTGAATAACGATTTCAGGATACCAAATCCAACAGTTCTGACGTCACCTCCCTCAACACAAGGGGCTGAGCTTCCAACCTTCGCCGGCATTGAGAAAGCATTCGAACACATTTATGACTTTACGGAGTCCGGAGATATTTTCTTCTTCTATTTCTCTGGACACGGGGCACGACTAAGGCCAATATCTGTATCGCCCACCGGAGCAGCTTTCGATCCATCCCTGCTGCCTATGGACTTCTGTCTAGGAGAGCCAGCTATCCGTGGATGGCAGCTCAACCAGTGGTTGCAGAAGTTCAGCCATAAACAGGTTCAAGTCCTTGCCATCATTGATAGCTGTCACGTGGCTGGCTCAGAGAAATCTGGTGAGCGGTACAGGACCCCCCTCAATTGGGATGTCATCAATTTACTCCCACAAGATGAGCTAGCGGTCCGTGATATCCACAGCGCCGCTCAAGACCAGCCCAGCCTTCAAACATCATGGTCGATGTACCCAGAGACTTTCACATTGATGGCAGCTTGTGAGGATGATAAGAGCACTGCAGAAATGCTAATTGATGGAAGTTGGGTTGGCGTGTTCACGAAAACGATCGCCGACATCTTCCGAACATCCGGGGCTGACGAAGGAAGTCTGACATATTGTCACCTAAAGGAACGTTTGGCGAGAAGGCTTCGAGCGCAGCATTCTGTCGTTCATGGTCAAGACCGGCTACTATTCTTGGGTGATGGACGGTCTTATCCACGGTCACATCTCATCGCCTGGTTCCAGGATGGCAAAGTTCATCTTCCCATTGGGAAAGCTCACGGGGTCCACAGCTCCTCCGAATTCATGCCCATTTCGGCACCTAGCAGATTTGCTTTTAGAATGGACCACATTGAAGATTTCTACTCGACGGTTCAGCTTCAGTTTGAGGTCTGCGAAGCTCTGGCTAGAGATGATTTTCGAGTCGTCGCCTTCCGGTGGAGCTTAGGAAGCCGACAATTGCGTGTTTCCTATGACGCCACCGTCAATAGTACGCTCCAGGAGTACATTCTCCACGCCCTGAAATATCGTGTTTCCAGTGCGATAGAATTTGCGGCAACCGGCCATTCTGACAAGCGTCGTTCAGACTCTTTGCACATCAATCAGCAACCTCATGGCGGCGTTTTTGTTCAAAAGCCGACACATCTCATAGGCTACGAAGGACTAGCTCATGACTCGAGCGTAAGCGGCAACACAATCGATCATACTGCAGAAAAGGTCGCAGATCATATATTGCGCGTTTCTCGCTTCGAGCAGGCTCTGCAGCTTCGAGATAATACGTCGCCTGGGCCTAGACCGTTCGAAGTACTTATTCAGCCACTTCATGGCCTCTCTTCCATGGGTCCGTTCCCCCACAATCAGCAATTCGTATTCAGGCTTCACAGCGAGTGCGAAGAGGATCTTTTCTTCACCTTAATGAACTTTTCTCCTGGCTTTGGGATTCGGCAGGGTTTTCCTGAAGACGGGTTTTCGGCGAGGCTTGGGGCGCATGAGACCATCGCGTTCCCATTCACCATGAACATGGCCGATGAACTCAAGATACCAGCAATGATAAACGAGGAACAAGTCATCCGAGATATTGTCCGTATCATCGTTGTTCAAGGCGGGGAGGTATCTTGGAAAAGCCTAGAGCAGCCCAACGTCTGGAGCTCTGGCCAAGAAAGTCGCGGCCAGACGCAGTACAGGGATTGCATTGTTGCAGACAAGCATCGAAAATGGTGGATGGTTGATGAAGAGATAATCACAATCACCGATGGTTTGAAAGCTCCACCACAGCACCCACCGAGACGTGCTCTGGGCTTTTTGGATGAGCGACTGGAGCAAGTAATGCAGCGGTTTCGTTTGGGTTGTCAATTGTATCTCAGCTTCTCGCGCACTGGCAACATTGAAGATATCAATCATGCCATCCGCGAAATACGGCATGCTGTCGCCGACACTACAGGTACCGGGAAGGAGGTTGAGGTTATGCGTGCGACACTTGGAGAAATTGGGTTTTCTCTCAGCCAGCAATCAGCTAATACTGAGTCCGCCGATTATCTCAAAATAGCTGTGGAAGCAACGAAAGCATCTGGCCTCTGTGGTGTTTCTCGCGAAAAGCTTCTGAATCAGCTGGGGTCACTTCTGGGAAAATTGTTCAAATGCACAGAGGACCCAGCAACTTTAGAAGAAGCCATTCGAGTTACCAAGGAAGCAGCTTCTTCTACCAATGGCAACTACTTGGAACAAGCCACGGCCTTAATAAATCTGTGCAATCGACTGAGCGAGAGATTCAAGCATACTGGCCTGCTGTCGCACCTTGACGATGCGATTGACTTTGGCCGCGAGGCTATGGAGAAAACACAGCGCATCCCTCAATACTGGAACATTCAAACATCGATTGCTGCCAATCTTGGATTGTCATTATGCGACAGATTTTCAGTCACAGGCCGAAACGAGGACCTTAATGAAGGCATCAATCTGTGCGCAGTCGCTGTCTTGCAAGCAAGTCCGACTGATCCTAACCGTGCCCCCTGGCTCAATAACCTCGGTCTCGCGCACAACCACCAGTATTCTGTCTCGAACAATATGAATGATCTCGATGAAGCTATACGGGTGACACAAGATGCTTTGACTAGCATCCATCCCCGGCATCCGGCACGCAGTGGAATCATTTTTAACCTAGCCTCACGGCTCAGGGACAGGTCACGTTCTACTGGATCGATAGAAGACTTGAATGAAGCTGTGAGGCACTTCCGGGACATTCACGTGTCAGGTTACGCTGGCAATCTTCCAAGTCAGAAGATTGAGAGATCAAAACGACTTAGTCTCTTAGGCATTTCTTTGGGAGAACGATTTGAAAGGACCCATCAACGTACTGATATCGAAGAATCCGTCAAGATTTTAAAGATGTCTCTTGCAGCACAACCGGAAGGATCTACTGAAAGAGGGGTACGATTGCAGAACGTAGCCAATGCTCTACGTTCGAAATTTGAGCTGTTGAGAGATGTACGTGACATCGAAGAGGCCATCTCTTTACGAAGACAAGTTCTTCAAGAGAAATTTGACTTCGGTCTGAATCGCGAAGAGCTTCTGGAGAGTATGGTGGTTGATCTGCATTTGAAGGCCATGAAGACGAAGTCCCTGGTGGATCTGGAACAAGCCATCCAGGGCTGGAAACAGACAATTGCATCAGCCTCCGAAGGTCAATCAGAGAAAGCGAGTCGACTCGAACGATTGGCAATGGTGCTTTACACTAGGTTTCAGGTAACCGGTGACACATCCAATCTTGACGAAGCGGTCAATTCCTGTCGGAACGCTCTATCAGTGGCGACATCTCCTAGCGACTGCATCGATATTCGACGTACTCTGTCCATCTGTCTGTCCGCAAGAGCGTCCCATACAGGAGCCATGAAAGACACAGATGACTGTATCAAGCTCTCCAAAGAGACACTGGCAGATTCTGGCATTCAAGATTCAGACAGGCGCATTTTTCTAAGTTGTCTTGGGTCTTGCTTCGAAATTCGGCACTCAAACACCGGATCAATGGATGATCTCAACCAGAGCATTCATTTCAACAGGCAGTCAGTGGATATTTTACCCGCCGATGACGACCACAAACCTTCCGAAATATCCAACTTAGCAACTGCACTCCAGACCAGATTCCAACGAACAGGACAAATGATAGACATCAATGAGGCTATTCGACTTCTGAAAGAGCTGATTTATACTAGGCCCGGTGACGTGGAAGATGAGACCGTATTCCGAACAAATCTGGCCGGTCTTTTGGCCGAGAGATACATCAGAACATCAAACATGCATGACATCGACGAAGCAATCGAACTGGCACGACAAACGATCCCGTACAGACACGCCAACAGGCCTTCTCGCTTGAATAACCTGGCTGGCCTTTTGCAGCGGAGATATAACTACAAAAAGCAACCAGAAGACCTCACTGAAGCGGTCCAATTCTCCCGGGAGGCCGCTTTGACTATGAACAACCAAAATCCTAATCATGCGGCGCTTCTTTCCAATCTCGCAGTTGTTCTCTCTGAGAAACATCGCATTTCCATGGCATCGGATGATCTAGATGAAGCAATTCGGTTCGGGAAGGAAGCTGTTGAAAAAACTCGGGCTGATCATCCAGAACGAGCCAAAAGGACCTTTTTTCTTGGGCTCGATCTTGAGCATCGACATGCACACTCCAGAGATCTAGATGATCTCGAGACAGCCAAGAAGTGCCATCTTGAAGCCCTGCACACCACTAATAGCGGAGCCAATGTACGCATACACGCAGGCCATCGGTTTATGTCTATCTGCGACATAGCTGCCCAACATGAAGAGGCATTCTCTGCTGCTGAGACCGTTGTAGCGCTCATTCCTTTGATGGCGTCTTTAAGCCTGCAGCCCGCAGATAAGCGACATTTTCTTTCACAGGTTGTTGGACATACCTCTGATGCTGCAGCCATTGCACTTGCAGTGGGCAAATGTCCAGCATCTGCGGTCGAACTATTGGAGACTGGTCGGGGTGTAATTTCAAGCACTCTCCAAGACCTGAGAGCTGATGTCACGACCCTAGCAAGGTTTAATCCAGAACTGGCCGGACGTTTCGTGGAAATCCGCAATAAGCTAGATGCTCCAATGGTTGTCTCCTCCAGGAAAGCAGACTTTCCTATCCAAAGTCATGACAGGATTGTCGGAGCCTTTCCATTCGAAGGCGATCAGCGCCACGAGGCCAGTGGTCAGTTGAGCGATTTGTTGGCCGAGATCCGCGATGTTCCTGGATTCGATAGGTTCCTTCTCGCCGGGACTGAGATGCAAATGAGAGAAGCAGCTGCTGGAGGTCCCATTATCATCATCAACGTGGGTGCCCATAGGCGCGACGCCTTGGTCATCGACCAAAAGGGCATTCGTGCGTTGGAGCTCTCAGGTCTAAGTATTGAGGATATACATTCTCGCTCAAATACCCTGGACTCGGCGAAGACACTTGAATGGCTATGGGATGTCGCTGTCGGACCTATTCTTGACTTCCTCGGGTTTACTGGTACGCCAGGTGAGGGCATGCCGTGGCCGCGGGTTTGGTGGATTCCGACAGGCGCGCTCGTGCGGTTCCCCCTTCATGCTGCCGGTTATCACCTTCGTCGCAACTCAGATACGGCCATGGACAGGGTGATATCGTCGTACAGCTCGTCTGTAAAAGCCATCACAAACGCTCGAAGACAGCGGTTCCTTGTTGATGGGGACCCCGAGTCAGGCTCAAATGCTATCCTCATTTCCATGTCAGAAACTCCAAAACACTCGAGTCTTCAGCATGCAAAGAGGGAAATCGACGAGGTCAGCAAAATCTGTTCATCCATGGGCTTGCCATTTGAACATCCAGAGAACAACAATCGAGATGTTTTGGATGCTCTAGACAACTGCAAGATCTTCCATTTTGCTGGGCACGGAGGTACCCATCCTAAAGACCCATTGAAAAGTCTCCTTCTCCTCAAAGACTACGACAGCTTTCCCCTTACGGTCGGAAGCCTCCTTGACAAGAACCTACAGTCGAAGAGGCCTTTCCTCGCCTACCTTTCGGCATGCGGCACCGGCGAGATCAAAGATAAAAACTCTGTTGATGAGAGTATTCACTTGACCAGTGCTTTTCAGCTTGCGGGGTTTCAACACGTTGTTGGTACACTCTGGAGCGTCGACGACGCGGTGTGTGTGGATGTTGCAAGAGCCACCTATGAAGCGATCCAGGAGCATGGATTCAAAGACACTTCTGTAAGCCTAGGCCTTCACCGGGGTTTGCGATCGCTGCGTGATCGATGGGTGGCTAGTGAGACGGATCCCACGGTTCCTCGTCGGGACATCAAAGTCCCTCGGTTCGAAGATCGCAGATTGTTGTGGGTTCCATATGTGCATTACGGTGTCTGAGTGTCTCTGGTGGGTTTCTGGATTTTGGATTATTTTGTTCATTCTTTCAACATAGGCAATTCATGCAATGAAATCGAATAGTAATGTCATGTTCTTATTCACGTGGGTGGTCGCCTGTGGTTAGGTACGTGCAGCTACCTACCAGCCAACCTACTTTTGCTCACTGATCCAAATTGAAGTGCTGCTTACTAAGAGCGTAGGAGAATGCTCAGATGTTTGCATGCAGCCATAAAATGACCTGAATTCCCCAACATTTCAGGTTCATAGACACCCAAGCTAGAAGAGTGCAGGGATCAACTACTTTGGCGAACATGACGATCATCGAAATTGAAGTGATATTCGACTTTGTCTGTGCGGTAAGTGATCAATCCCCACACGCAGACATTCATCCAACTCATTTTCATGACCGTTTCTCAGTGGTGCTACATTGGCAAGCGCAAACTAGATCACGCCATCTCGCTCTACCAAAAGACCTACCCAGGTGGAAAGAAGGACGCCTTCTACATCACGTGGAAGCCATACTATCTGCACTATAACCCGCATCCTCACAGCGTCGATAAGAGCGAGGTGGCGAAATTCAGGTTGAGCGACATGTCGCCAGAAAGGCAAGCTGCATTGACACAGCGAATGGAGCAGATTGGCCGCTCCGTCGGCGTCAATTTCAAGTGGGGAGGCAAGATCGGCCCTGGCACGCGTGATGCGCATCGACTTGTGCGTTTGAGCCGGCCGGAAGACGCCAGTGTGCAGAGTGCATTGATCGATGGTCTCTTTGCGGCGTATCACGAGCTTGAGCGGGACATTTCTGACACCGAAATTCTTCAAATGTTGCGACTGGCGCTGGTATGAGTGGTTTGCATATGGAAAAGTTTCTCCAATCCACGACGGGTCTTCATGAAGTCAACGAGCAAGAGATAAAGACACGTGAGCTAGCTGCTGGCTGGGGTGTCCCGACCTTCATCATCCAGGGAGTTCATCGGTTGGGCGGCGCTCAGGATCCATCAGACTTCTACGAAGCATTTGTGAAAGTGAAGGAGGCAGATACGACGCACAACATCTGAGTCGGCCCAGGCAGGGCAGATTAAGTCTACTCTTCGAAAGTAATTATCAATCGAATACTAACTTGTAGATCCTGAAACCCAGATCTCATTTGCTTCTAGCTAAAGCCATAATCTATGCGTTGGTAAACTTTGCCCCAGCTGGTGGAGTATTTACCCCCATTCCCATTGAAATTTGGTGCCGAATGAGTGCGCTCAGGGCTGGCACTCCTCATTTCGTCGTTTCTCCTTGACTCCAAAGCACGCCAGCTCGCCTTGATCATTGCCCATGAAGGTATCCTAAAACAATCGTAAGCAAGCCGGAGCTAACGATGGAAAGGGTGCCTACCAAGTCAATCTCTGTGTCCACCAACTTATGCTCAACCCCAGTAGTGGGCTTCGGCCAGCAGCGGCAGCTGTACATCGTGGCTCTGTCCGGGTCCTTGAAGTCACAGTCCTGGCAGGTGCGCCAGAAGCGGCCGTCGCGACGGGCGACGAGCTTGCCGCGGCGGTTCTCGAGGCACTGGCCGAGGCGGAAGCGGTTCTGGGACCATCCGCCATTCATGTCGCTGCAGCAAGCCCAGACGATAGTGTCGATGAAGTCGCCGTGGATGTTGGTGCAGGACTTGCTGAAGTTGTGATTGCTGGCGAGGAGTTGATTGCCAGGGGCGTCGTTGATGGAGAAGTTGCCGTTGGCAGAGACGTTGAAGCTCTCGACTGCCGCACTATTGATAATTGTGGAAGACACAGGAATCGGCGAGGGAGGTCCGATGGGACTGGTGATGCTGGCAGCAGCCGCTGCAACAATGGTAGTGCTGAGCTGCATGGTGATAGGTGTGGAGAAGTTGAGATTTTGTAAAATGTGATTGTATATTGAGTGTGTGCCTTACTTTTGTCGATGGAGGTGTTTTGGTTGAAGGCGTTGTAGGTGAAGAAACTGTGGTTGATGGGGCCTGGTGTATGTTGACGAAGTGGGAAAAGGTTGGGAGCGAAGGTGCTGCCAGCTAGATGAAGTCTTTGGAAATGCAGGCGTGGAAATGCAACACGGGGAGGAACCATTCAAACATTGTCGAAGAATATTCAAGGGACTTTGAGAACCGATGGAAGGAAGGATCCTTCTTCCCTTCTAACTTTCCTTCGCAGATGCGTCTGCCATGAGCTCTCAGTCACACCAGAGAGGTAAAGGAACAGCTAGGTAAGATATTCCCCCATTGTTTCCCTCGGCACTCTAGAGCATGATCTTACAGGTGAAATTCCGAAGAGGCTACTATGGGACATGGAGGAGTCTTATTCAATCGCTGCTCAGTGAATCTTCACTCCAGCTTGTGTTTCAACGGAGGCCGTTGCATCCGAGATACGGGACCCACCCGGACTACGTTAACGGCCCCACCACGGCGCATCCGAAGCCGGACCTCGTCCTGGGGACCATGCTTTTGCTCAAAAGAGGGCGTGAATCAACAGGACGTTGAGTTAAATTGTTGAAAGGATTGTCTGATTATATCAACTCGATGTTAAACATTATACTAGTGAAAGGCCTTACTTTTGATCGCTGAAAACAAGAAACACACCCACCCAAATCTACGCAAAACTACCACGAAAAGCCCAACGCATCCTCTAGCCCATAGTACAAAGGACAGATGTAATCCGCCGTCAAAAGCGACGACACCGCCGTCACCCCCGTCGACGACCCGGACCCAATCAGCCCCAAATCCATGCCCAACAGCGAGCCGCCCACCTTGGTCCACCCCACGCCGCCGGCCGGGTTCTTCGCGAACCCGCCCCAGACGCCCTGCATCCACGAGCTCAGCTTGGTCTGCTGCGCAGACGCGGCGCCCCACTTGGCGTACTGCCCGTACGTGCCAAACACCGACGGGATCTCGCTCGTGTGGTACGAGCCCGCGTTCGCGAAGATGCCCGTCGACGTGAAGGACGGGTCGTAGCGGTAGCGGTACGCCGTGTACCCGTTGGAGGCCAGGTACGACGCGAGCGTGGACGTCGTGCACGTGAAGACGGCGTCGGTGATGATGCGGTCCGCGAGGATGTACGGGTCGTTGAAGCCCTGGAGGGCGTACTTGGCGAGGATCGAGTTCTTGGTCGCGGCGTCGGTGATGCCGACCATCGAGAGCGCGTCGCTCATCGCGCCGCTGCCGTCGTTCATCCCGTCGACGGCGAGGAACGCGCGCGCCTCGTTGAGGGTGGTGCCGATCATGACCGGGATCTTGGGCCACGTCTTGCTGGAGATGCTGGGGCGCACGTCCTTGGTCGCGGTGCCGTCGCCGGCGACGGGCGGGAAGACGAGCGCGGCGGACTCGATGTAGGCCTTGATCGCGGTGGCGTCCACCTTGCGCAGGCAGGCGATGTCAGCGCAGGAGAACTGCTTGAGGACCTTGTTGTAGCTGTCGAGGCCGGAGCCGAGGAGCAGGCTCTGCTGGGACTCCATGATGGCCGCGGCGAAGGGCAGCGGGGACGGCGGGTTCGCGAGGAGCTGCTTCACGGACTCGCCGCCGGCGGACTCGCCAAAGATGGTGACGCGCTTCGAGTCGCCGCCGAAGGACGCGATGTTGTCCTGAACCCACTGCAGCGCGAAGCGCTGGTCGAGGTAGCCAGCGTTCTGGGAGCCCTTGGCGATCTCAGGGGAGTTGGAGAAGCCGAAGATGTTGGTGCGGTAGTTGATGGTGACGACGACAACGTCCTGGGAGACGGCGAGGGTGCTGCCGTCGTAGATGGGCAGGCTGGCGGTGCCGAACTGGAGGTTGCCCGGGAAGATCCAGAACATGACAGCCTTCTTGGAGGTCGGGGTCGCGGTGGGCGGCGTGAAGACATTGAGGTAGAGGCAGTCCTCGCTCTCGGCCGTCAGGGGCCCGGTCGGGTTACCGAAGATGGCCTTCTGGAGGGTCTGGGCGTTGCCGCTGTCGGTGAACTGCTGGATGCAGGCGGGCTTGAAGGCCGTCGCGGTGAGCGGGGTGGTCCATTTTGCCGGGGCCTGGGGAGGGGAGAACCGCTCCGGGGGCGACTTGGCGAAGGGGATTCCGAGATATGTATTTGCGCCGGGGGCTGAGGTGGCGCCGACGACGACGCCGGAGGCGATTGTTACCGACGGGGTTGCGGCTCGGGCGTTGTTTGCTGGGGCCGCGAGGGCTTGGAGAAAGAGGGTGGATGAGAGAAGGAGTGAGAGCTGGTTGAAACCCATGGTCGATGGAGAGAATGTGGTTGGGTAAGACCTTTTGGAGAAGGAATGTGATGAAGCGACTCGATGCTCTTGGTTGTTGGAATGTTGTGTTTCAATGGCTCTCTCGTCGATTCTTATATGAAATTCCCGGAATTCTCGCCCATTCTCTCAAAACGGAGCCACAGGTATTCGATAATTCAACCGCCACAACGGATCATGGTCTTCTCTGTGCCACGAGAGACACCCATCCAAGACATTCGCGCTTATCCCATCAAGTCGGTGCTTTGACCAACACCAAGAAGTAGCCCGTCTCCCACCCCGGGCCAGACGACGCCGCTTCCGGGAGGACGAACAGCCCGCATTCGGCATCTTCAACGGAGCTTGTCTCACTTCGTAAAGAAAGCCTGACGAAATAAACGACTAAGAAGGTCTGGGTTCTCTTTCATGGCTCTCGACCACGAGGGAACCGGGACCGCACTGGGCAACGACCTGCCGGGTGACGCTAGGCGCAGCGGACTGGGCGCAGAGACAGGACTAGACCCGGTCTAGGCGGACAATGGCATTGGCGACGGCGCGAACCACGGCGCTGGGACGTGTGTAAGTGGACTGATGCTTGCGAGGTCCTCGGGGGATTTGAGGGGAGCATAGGACGAGGTGGCGCCGCGCATCTTTCTTGATGCCAAGCCGGGACACTCTCCATCGGGGAAACTTTGACGCCGGTCTCTTTGGGGATGGAGCTTTGATGGAGTCGTGATTGGCGTATCTACTGACATGGATTCATTGAGCATGTACAAATGGCATCCCTGCAGCTCGAAGCTTCTCCCAGAGGCGTCTTCGATTACCGTAGTCCAGCCCGGAATCGGCTCCGATGCGTCTCTTCCAATGGGATCTCGCCGTTATAGGCAGACGAGTGAGACACGAGCATCCCCGCAAAGGCATTGGGGTATTCTTGTTGGCGTGGAAATGCTCCTTCAGCTGTGGTAGCCCAGCATCAACATCCCTTCCCGGTGACCTTCTCCCCGCCCTTCTTCACCCCCATCAAGCCTGGAAATGCGCCGTATCAAACCCACCCTCACAAACACAACACCAGCTCGAACTCCCCGTGTTATCCGCACCGCACCACCCTTCTCTCTTGCCCTCCCTCAAACACTGCGACGGACAGCTGCTCGCCGCCGGACACCCAACAACACAAAAGTACCTTTGCCGGTTCACCGTGTCCAGCACGCTGAGGCAGCGCGGCGTGCCGCCAAACGAGCACGCGTTCATCTGGTCCGGCGTGCAGGTATGGTTGGCGTTGTCGGCGCGGTCAAGAGGGTCGCCAGGACGGACTGGAAATACATTCTCTCCATGTGTGGGGGTTTTGTGGGTTTTGGATGGAGGGTCGTTGAGATTGAGTTGCGTTGCGTAGCGGGGAGATCAGATGAACGGAGACATGGGATGGCAGGTTCCGGCGATCGACACGACCAGACGATTCGTCCGGGCTTTATGCATATGCCGCTCACACATCGAGCCGGTCGCAGTGAACTGTTCAAAGTCGGCTCGCAGATTCCAAAACGGGGTCTGTCTTGACGAATTAGTGAGAGGCGCCGACTCGGGGGTTAATATATCGTCAACTCATCTCCCACCTGACCACAAACCCCCCTAGAAAACGATGGGATGAGTCGTGGTAGCCCGGCCTTTTGTATCCGAGCGCGGGAGCTCGTACCGCGGACAGCAAATCAATTAGTTCACAGAAACTCACTCTCCAGGAGAGGCCAACTCTGAAGGAGAAAAAAGAGAGGTATCAAGATTACGTTAAAACAGGCTGCTCCCGTTTTCACGCGCAAAGCCCGTATGACTAGTCTATAAATCTAAGGTGTATACATTATCACATTAAAAGAAACCTGGCAGCCGGCTTCACCATATCTCTCTTTCTTAGGAGGAGGTGCCGGCCAGATTCTGCAACCTCGCGTACTCCGTTCTGAGGATGTAGAGGTTGAGCCTCACACCCGCGCCGCAGTATTGCGTGCTGTTTCCTGGACACTTGAAGGAGCAGTCCGAGCTGGACACGTTCGCGGCCATGGTGGTGCCGCCGCTGCCGCCGTAGTTGAGGGAGTTACCGCACCAGCAACTCGCGGCCGTACTCGACACCAGCGTAGAGCTTGTCGGAGCAGGCGGTGAGGCACTTATTGATGGTCATGTTGACGCCGTCGTTGACGACTTGCGTGGGGAGGAGACGGCCGACTTGGGGCTCGGAGAAGCAGCCATAGTAGGTGAAGTTTTGGTCGCCTGGGACGATGACGGGGCCTGTCGGGGTCGGCTTCGCGGAGGAGGTGCTCGAAGAGGTGCTTGAGGAGCTCGACTTGAAGGTCGAGGTCGAGGAAGATGAGGAAGAGGAGGCTATGAGGGAGGAGGAAGTCGCCGTGGAGCTCGAGGATGCAGACGAGCTGGAGCTTATCAGGGTGCTTGAGGCGGAAGACGAGCTTGAGAGTGAGGAAGAGCTAGAGCTTGTCGAAGAGCTGGAGGAAGCCTGAGAGCTGGAGCTGGAAGAGGAGCTAGTGGCCGTGGAGGAGACCGAAGCAGCAGAGAAGATGGAGGAAGACGAGCTAGAGGATGGAGAAGAGCTAGAGACCGTAGAGAAGCTGGAGCTTGAGGAGCTTGAAGCTGTAGAAGAGCTGAAGCTTGTCGCAGAGCTGGAGGCGGAAGATGAGCTCGAGCCGGTCGAGGAGCTGGAAGATGTCGTTGAGACAGCAGCTGCCGTAACGCCAGAAGTCGACGTGGAGCTAGAAGCCGATGTGGAGCTGGACGCTACCGTGGAGCTGGACGATGACAGAGAGGCAGAGTTCAACGTGGAAGACGAAGACGAGACCGAAGAAGTAGTGCTCTGAGTTGCCGAGGAGCTAGAAGACGATGTCGGGGTAGAATCTGAGGACGACGACGTAGTCGATGTGAACGCCCCAGGGATAAGTCCAGGAGTGGAGCTTGTGCTCGACGAGAGAGAAGTGGTGCTGCTGGACGTAGAGGACACAGTCGAGCTCGAGCTGAAACCCGAAAGAGCCGAAGAGGTAGAACTGGACACGGCCTTGTCCTGGACGGTCACCGAGGCGGCAGAGCTGCTGGATGAGGCGGATGCTGCGGTGGACGAAGATGTTGTCGCGGTGGTGGACGAAGACGCGACGGGGGAGTACATGTAGAGTTGGAGTCGGTTGCCAGCGCCGCACTTCTGCGTGCCATCACCGGGGCACGGGAACGAGCAGTCCGTCAGAGGCGCTTGCTTTGATGTCGCATCCAGGACATTGCCACACCAGCATTCTCGGCCGTACTCGGTACCAAAGTAATTGAGGCCCTGGCAGAAACCACTACAAGATTGCAGAGTCATGGAGTCATTGGCATACGTGCGGACCGGGAGAGCGCGAACGCCTGTGCCCTCCGTCCAGCAGCCCTGGAAGAGCCAGTCGCCGATACGGCTGTTGGCGGCGGTGGTCGTGGCAGCCGCCGAGGTCGAGGTAGAAGTGACAGTGCCAGTGCCAGCTGAGGTTGCGGTACCAGTGCCAGTGCTCAATGAGGCGGCGGTGCTGCTCGAGCTGGTGGGCACGGGCAGGGAGGTGTTGAGCATGTACATGTTGAGTCTGTTTGGACCACCGCAGTATTCGCTGCTGTTGCCGTTGCAAGCCATGCTGCAGTCTGCGGCGAGGGCCGGGACAGCGCCGGCGCCGAGAGTGTTACCGCACCAGCACTCTCCTCCATACTCCACTCCAATCCAGGTGTACTTCTTGGCGGCGCAAGCTGTGATGCAGTTGCCGACTGTTTGAGTCTGAACATTGACCAAGTTAGGCAGGGCACGGCCGTTTGTTCCCTCGGTGTAGCATCCTGCGCTCACATACTGGCCCACGCCGGGGTTGACGACTGGACCAGAAGGATTCGTCGGGTTGGTCGGGTTCGGCGTGGGCGTCGTGGTGTTGCCATCCCATTGAGTAGAGTCCGCGAAGACAGAGATGAAAGCGCCACCCTGGAGGGTGCCAACGCCGTTGCCACCGCAGACCTGGTTGAGGTCACCGCCGCAGTCGTAGTTGCAGTTCTTGTCGTCGACCTTGAGGCTAGGGATGGCGGGGCCGCCCCAACATTCGGTGTGGTACTGAGTTCCGCAGAAGACGTAGTTCTTCGCCGCGCAGTTAGCAATACAGCTGGGGTTGGTGTTCGTGGTGCCTCCGGCGAGCTGGTTGGGGAGCTGGCGGCCGGGGTTGTTCTCCTTGTAGCATCCGATGTATCGGTATTTGCCCTGACCGCTAGGCAGGAGAGGCGGGGCTTGCTCAGAGACCGCGTTGCACACGAAGGTGAAGAAGTGCTTCTCGAAGTTGGGATCATTGGTGTTCATGGTCCAAGGCGCCGATCCTACGTAGGTATCGACGTTCCATTGAGACTTTGGAACGGAACAGACCATGGTGGCCGTGGCGCTCTCGCCGGGGGCAAGCTGGGTACCCTCAGCCAGGTCAACGGTGTTGGCAGCCCCGACAATACCAGGGATACCGAAAGGCGGCTTCGAGACGGTAAGGATGAGGTTGACACCTCCGGCGGCAGCATTGTTGGTGACGCGGAACTTGAGGGATCTAGAGGTGTTCTCGGTGACGTTGCCGAAGGTGAAGTTCTTGCTAGCATCGTATTGGACCCAGCCGGTGGCATCGGGCGTCTGGAACTCGATCAAGGCGACAGGAGCAGGGCCGGCGGAGCCTGCAATAGTGAAGGACCTGCTGCCACCGTTAGAGTTCACCGTGAGGTAGGCACCGAAGCTTCCAGCCACCGAAGAGTCGAAGGCAATGTCTACAGTGACGGCGCTGTTGGGGTCGATTGTGGCGGGAATGTTGCTCAGAGTGAACTTTCCGACGGTGAGAGTATCAGTCTCGTGGTTCCATGTGGTGAAAGGACCCTGAGCGCTGGTCGTAGAGAACTGGACGTTAGTGATGGACAGAGGAACGTTGCCCTGGTTGGAGATGATGACAGTCTCTTCGAGGGTACCGTTGGATCCAGCAATGATGCCCTGGAAAGTGACAGTTGGGGGCGTAACGGCCAGCAGAGGACTGGAGCTCTCGCCAGTGCCGGTCAATCTGACATGAGTATTCTGACTGTAACCAGCAACAGCATTGGTGGTATTGACAAGGAGATCGGAAGAGACCAGGCCAACGGTGGTGGGCTTGAAGGCGACGGAGACGTTGAAAGTCTGGCCGGCGGTGAGGGTGAGCGGCAGGGATCCAGCGTTGGTGACGACGAAATCGTCCGCCTCATCCAGGCCAATATCTGTAACAGTGACGCCGACCAGAGCCTTGCAGAAGATCGAGCGCGCCACACTCTGGTTGCCGACGTTGACAGTACCGAAATCGTTGGAGGAAGTGCAGTTCACAGGCACGTTTACGGGGGAGCCGAAGGCATAGAGGTAACCGAGAGTGGTGCCCTGGTACATGATGCCATCACCAAAGACAGCCCTGCCGAACTTGGTTGAGCCTGGAACACTGAAAGACTTTATGAGATTCATGGCACCGTTCTTGGGAATGGCGTCATAGATCCTGAGTTGAGAGCCCTGAACATCGAGAGTCCAGATGAGACCGGTACCTGGCTGGTTGTTGAGAGAAGTGACAGTGCCGTGGCTGACACCGAGGATGGCAGCGTTCGCGGCGGGGCTCATCGCGACCTTGGTGAATGAGGGGACTCCAGCTGTGCAGGAGAACTTGAAGACGTTTGTGGGATAGTTGATGACATTGATGAAGATGTAGCCGCCCTCCAACGGATAGACACCAGCTCCGGCATACACCGAGTTGTCGTTCTGGTAGACCTGAATAACAGCATCCAAACGATTGGCACCGTTGCGGTAGCCGCCCATGTTGTCGAGGTTGATCCAGTACGTCTTGCCGCTCTTGCCGGTCACGACACCGATGCGCTTCACGTCGCCGCAGGAGAAGGCGCTGGGAAGAATCTGCAGAGGACTGGTACCCAGATCCTTGTCGGCACCGTCCAAGGCTTGTTTCTCCCATGGCATGAAAAAGTCGGTTACGGTCAAGCTTCCGTCACCGCCGATACTCATGTGGACAGCGGCCTCCTCCATGGCCGTGGGAGGCTGGCGACCGTTGACAGGGATGGTGCTGAGCTGAGAAGCGTAACCATTGCCGGTAGCGAAGAACATGGAGCCGGCATCATCGGACGCCAGACCACCGCCAGACATCCAGACGCCAGCGCCAGGGGTGGTGTTAGGAACACCGTCACCCTGAGTGGCCCATCGCTCAACCAGATTACCACTCGTCTTGTCGAAACCAATGATCCACCCGGTGAAGTTGTACTGCACACAGTGGGAGGCGAAACCAAGGTAGACGAACTGTCCGACGTTCAGAAGGGCGGGGCGTTGGTGATGGATGCCGCCGTTGAAGGATCGGATCGGGTTGTTCCTGGCCACGGTGCCCTCCAAGTTGACGGGGAAGTTGGGTCGTTCGGCGAGAGTGTTGACATCCAATGCGTGGATGTAGTAACGTCCGGCTGGGCGACCCTGAGCGATATTGATCTGGGACTGGTCGGCATAGGTCTTGGAGGTCAGGTACAGGGTGTCAGTGGACGGGTCAATGACACCGGTGGCGGTGATGCCGACGTGGGGGTTGATGTCGACGCAGCCGTCGAGGTCGGCGGTCAGGAAGGGAATGTGAAGGTTGCGAGAGGCGACGATGGCGCCGGTCTTTGCATTAAGTTTGTAGACATTATTCTGTTGCGTCGCGACGTAGACGTATTGTGTGCCGTCGCCGCCGCTGGGGGTGTAAACGAGAGGCTGTGAGAAGATCTGCTCGGGCTGGCCACCGTAATTGCCGGGAAGCTGCGTCCGGAACAGCTGGCCGAACTGGGAGCTCCCTACCACGGAGGGGTCCATGTTGTGTGTTCTTGATATCAATTCGCATTAGGAGCTGTTCATTCTCGCGATGCAAGCTTGATCTCCGTCTCCCCCACCGGGCAGGGCGTTGCCATTGTGTCTGCACAACGATCTACACCAGGGGGGCTTTGCGGGGGAGCTCGGAAGAAGAGAGAATCATCAACTTACGTTTGGTAGCCGG